CTCTATCTACCCTCACTATCCTTGCCACATTCTCTATCCATGTCGACAGCCCAACCCGTCCTTGTGCTGGTGTGTGTGTGTGTGTGTGTGAGTGTGGTGTGTGTGTTGGTGTGTGTGTGTGTGGTGGTGTGTGTTGTGTGGTGTGTGTGTGTGTGTGTGTGTGTGTGAGTGTGTGTGGTGTGTGTGTGTGTGTGTTGTGTTGTGTGTGTGTGTGTGTGTGTGTGTGTGTGTGTGTGTGTGTGTGTGTGTGTGTGTGTTGTGTGTGTGTGGTGTGTGTGTGAGTCCCTGTTACCTGCCAGTGCCCCTCACTCACCAGTAATGACAGTCTTGGTGATATTCTCCTGACGGTGGATACTGCAGGAGGCCAGCACCCTCAGGCCAGGTCGTCCATCTCTCTCCACCAGGTCCCACGACCCGCTGAATACCATCCGGTTCTGATCGTCGTCATCCTCGTCGTCCTCGGCCTCGTCCCTCTTGGACGTGTCTTCGGTGATCGTGACGTTGACAGCCTTCGTCAGCGAGGTCTCCAGGTCGTCTGAGAGGTTGGTCTCGGTCTCCATCTTGCTCGATGTGTGGACGGTCGACGTGGTGGTCCAGGTCTCCGGGGTGCGTTTAGCCTTCTTGGTTGGGACGCGTTCATTCTCCGTCAGATATTGAGGGGGTTCAATGCTGTCTTCTTTAGTCTCCCCATCGTCTGTTTCTCCGTCGTTTTCTTTGCCTTTAGCTGTTGCCTTTAGCTGGTCTGAATCGACCGAGAACTTTCTTTTTCCTTTAGTCTCTGGTGATAATGGTCCCTTAACGCCCAAGTCCGGCTCTGATTGGTCTTTATCGTCTCTGCCGCCGTCGGATTCCACGCCTGATTGGTTCGCATCATCGTTTGGCCAATTCAGAACACTCTTTTCAACTGTCTGACGCTTCTCTTCACCCACTATTGGTTCATTGCTACACCGGGAACCGAACCCTGTCCGACTATGATCAGTCGGTTCTGCTACCCAGAGAGGGATGACACACATAGGGATGAAACTTATTGTTTAATTAATGCACGATATGGTGAAGGCGAAATTGCATACCAAAATATAGCTTCAGCAACATATATGTGTGAGTGTGTGTGTGTGTGTGTGTGTGTGGGTGTGTGTGTGTGTGTGTGTGGGTGTGGGTGTCACTGTTGATTTAATGGGAGAAGCATAAGAGGTATGCAATTTCAATCCAACATATGTTTGATTTATCAATCCTGTTGAATTAAATACCTGGCATATTTGTGAATCACAGAGTATATCTTTTTATTTACTAGGCAGGAAAGAAAGGTTGGAAAGCTGCCGTAGAAGAGAAGGGTCAGGACCACGTAAGAAAGAGAGGAGAAAACATGATCACATGGACTAAGCATTCCAATGAAAAAGTTCAAAACTTTGTTTGCACTGTAAAACATGATTAAATCGAGCAGAAAAATATATTAGAGACACACACACACACACACACTCACATACACTCACACTCACACACACACACCAAGCACATACTCACACACACACACACACAACACACACACACACACACACACACACACACACACCAACACACACACCACACACACACACACCCACACCACACACCACACACACACACAACGCACACACACGCACACATACTCACACACACACACACACACACACACACACACACACACACACACACACACACACACACCACACACACAACACCACACAACAAACACACCACACACTACACACACACACACACACACACACACACACCCACACACACACCACAACACACACACACACACACACACACACACACACACACACACACACACGCACACACACAAGCACATACTCACACACACACACACACACACACACACACACACACACACACACACACACACACACACACACACACACACACACACACACACACACACACACACACACACACAGAGTTAATACCAACTGCATTTAGTGGTACATAATTATAATATGCTTTAGATTTGCAGTAAAGAAGTAAACAAAAAAAAAAGTTTTCCATTACAAACGACGAAGCAATTTTGAACCTTACAGCCCTTGCCATTAATCGCCGCGTTACTGCCATACTTCACAAGAAAACGACCCATCGGCAGAAAGCAATAAGGTTTAAAATTCTTTCGTCCCTCATAGAAGGAAATTAAGGGGGAAATCAAACTAATTAGGCATTAGAAAACGACGGAAGAAAATGGAGAAGCGTTGGTCGCTTGTGTAGGGGGTGGTCGCTTGTGGGGGCTGGTCGCTTGTAGGGGGTGGTCGCTTGTGGGGGGTGGTCGCTTGTGGGGGGTGGTCGCTTGTGGGGGTGGGGCAGCGTGTGGTCTGTTTTATAAGTATCTTCGTTAGTGGGTATTGTTGAGGGGAGAGGGGAGGGGAGTTGGCTTGGAGGAAGGGGAAGGGAAGGGGGTAGATGGGGGTGGCGGGGGGGGGGGGCGTTGAGAGGGGGAGTGTGTGTGTGGGAGAGATGTTGAGAGTGGGAGGGGAGGTGAGAGAGAGAGAGAGAGAGGAGAGAGAGAGAGAGAGAGAGAGAGAGAGAGAGAGAGAGAGGAAGAGAGAGAGAGAGAGAGGAGAGAGAGAGAGAGAGAGAGAGAGAGAGAGAGAGAGAGAGGGGAGAGAGAGAGAGAGAGAGAGAGAGAGAGGAGAGAGAGAGAGAGAGGAGAGAGAGAGGAGAGAGAGAGAGAAGAGAGAGAGATACGAGACGAGAGACAGAGACAGAGAGAGACAGAGACAGAGAGAGAGAAAGAGAGAAAGAGAGAAAGAGAGAAAGAGAGACAGAGACAGAGAGACAGAGAGACACAGAGACAGAAAAAAAAAAAAAACACACCCGAACCCCCCACACTCCATTTTCTTCGAGTTAAGCGTTTTCTTTGCTCCAATTTAGTTGAGACACCCCCCGTCAACACCCACACTCAACCTCACAGAAAACGGAATGTAAACAAACACCCCACACACACATAAACACGGCCAGGCTCCTCGAACGTCAGTCCTGGGAGGAGACGGGTCGAGACGGGTTACCGCGCCAACACATCGAACACAAGCAACAGACAAGGAAAAAAAAAACTCAAAGGGAGAGAGACATAACACCCCAAACTCTTACGAAACCTGTACATCTTTCCTCAATCATGGCTGCGCTGTTTACATTTATTAAACTGTTTTAGAGCTCTGGAGCATACTGAAGTTGTTTATAATAACAATAATCTACGGTTGTGCAGTTTGGGCGCTCCTAAACAGTTTAATATATGTTTAATAAAGCCGAAATAGACTATTAAGATGTACGGGTTTCGTAAGAGGTTGTGTTAAGTCATTGACGAATTGACAAATTATTTAGATTTTTTTTTGTTTGAAGATGAGTAATTTGCCAATAGATATTGACCAAGATCTATCAAGGGTGTTTGACAACACATTCTGTTTACACCAAACAGTGGAATTATTTGATTTCAAATCTATGTATTTCATGTGATAACAATAGATTACAGAAGTTCAAAAAATAAAACACCTCAAGTTCCTGTAATCTATTTTCAAGGTTCTGAAAAAAATAAAATTATATAACAAGCCGATTAATCTGATATTATCGTAGGGGATTAGTGAACTGTACTCTGTGATTGACCGATAGGAATCGCGTCAATCTTCGTGATTGGCCGGTAGGAATCGCGTCAATCTTCGTGATTGGCCGGTAGGAATCGCGTCAATCTTCGTGATTAGCCGGTAGGAATCGCGACAATCTTCGTGATTGGCCGGTAGGAATCGCGACAATCTTCGTGATTGGCCGGTGGATATCGCTTCAATCTTCGTGATTGGCCGGTAGGAATCGCGACAATCTTCGTGATTGGCCGGTGGATATCGCACCAAGCTTCGTGATTGGCCGGTGGGTAACGCCTCAAGCAGGTAGAAATCCCACCAAACTCCGCACAACAGTGGGCAGAAGCTTGACTAAACTTTGTCATTCTTCAGTGACGAAGTGTCACAACATCTGTGACTTAAGAACTCCTTTACGGAAATATTTTAACCCAAATTCCCGGAAGATGAGTCCAATCGACGAAGGTACTCTACAGAGCCCGGACTACAAAGGTACTCTACTGAACCGGTCGACGAAGGTACTCTACTGAACCGGTCGACGAAGGTACTCTACTGAACCTGTCGACAAAGGTCCTCTACAGAGCCCGGTCGACGAAGGTACTCTACAGAGCCCGGTCGACGAAGGTACTCTACAGAGCCCGGACTACAAAGGTACTCTACTGAACCGGTCGACGAAGGTACTCTACTGAACCGGTCGACGAAGGTACTCTACTGAACCTGTCGACAAAGGTCCTCTACAGAGCCCGGTCGACGAAGGTACTCTACAGAGCCCGGTCGACCGAAGGTACTCTACAGAGCCGGACTACAAAGGTACTCTACTGAACCGGTCGACGAAGGTACTCTACTGAACCGGTCGACGAAGGTACTCTACTGAACCTGTCGACAAAGGTCCTCTACAGAGCCCGGTCGACGAAGGTACTCTACAGAGCCCGGTCGACGAAGGTACTCTACAGAGCCCGGACTACAAAGGTACTCTACTGAACCGGTCGACGAAGGTACTCTACTGAACCGGTCGACGAAGGTACTCTACTGAACCTGTCGACAAAGGTCCTCTACAGAGCCCGGTCGACGAAGGTACTCTACAGAGCCCGGTCGACGAAGGTACTCTACAGAGCCCGGACTACAAAGGTACTCTACTGAACCGGTCGACGAAGGTACTCTACTGAACCGGTCGACGAAGGTACTCTACTGAACCTGTCGACAAAGGTCCTCTACTGAGCCCGGACGACGAAGGTACTCTACAGAGCCCGGTCGACGAAGGTACTCTACAGAGCCCGGTCGACGAAGGTACTCTACTGAACCGGTCGACAAAGGTCCTCTACTGAACCGGTCGACAAAGGTCCTCTACTGAACCGGTCGACAAAGGTCCTCTACTGAGCCCGGACGACGAAGGTACTCTACAGAGCCCGGACGACGAAGGTACTCTACAGAGCCCGGACGACGAAAGTCCTCTACAGAGCCCGGTCGACAAAGGTACTCTACTGAACCGGTCGACAAAGGTACTCCACAGAGCCCGGACGACAAAGGTACTCTACTGAGCCCGGTCGACGAAGGTCCTCTACTGAACCGGTCGAAAAGAGAACGGGTCGTCGACAGGATCAGACAGCCTCACACACTCACTGTTAACAACGATGGTGCCTTCAGTGGTGGTCGAACCCTCGACGTTGGACACCGTGGCGACGTACAAGCCGGAATCCTCGGGTTTGGCTTCCTCAAACACCAAGCTGAAGGTGTCCTCGTTCTCCACCTTCAGCTTGACGCGGCGCTCATCTGGAGACCACTTCTTGCCATCTTTCGTCCTGTAGAAGGGACAGACAGACTACTTAAGCATCCTACCTCCCCCAGCTCTGATTAATCACTCGACCATCGATCTACTTAATATCAGCACTTAAGTGTTTAGGTATAATCTTCAATTTAATCGTTGAAACTTAATTAAGCTAGTTATTCTGAACACTTAAGGTCACTTAAGTTCCGGATTAAAACTACCTAATAACTTGAAACATCATTACTAAGTTGCAAGCCACTTACCTGCCTATAGGCTCTTGATGCTGCACCCCATTAATCCCAAACCCTTAAATCATCTACCCACCTAATCCCAACCCCTTAAATCATTTACCCACTTAATCCAAACCCCTAAATCATCTACCCACTTAATCCCAACCTCCTAAATCATCTACCCACTTAATCCCAACCCCCTAAATCATCTACCCTCTTAATCCCAACCCCTTAAATCATCTACCCACTTAATTCATACCCCCCCTTTATTCAGCAACACACACACACACCACACAATATAGCCGGCGACCAAAGAGCCAGAGCTCAACCCCCGCAAGCACAATTAGGTAAGTACACACACACACACACACACACACACACACACACACACACACACACACACACACATCTTCCTCTCCGAGGCACCTACCACTTGATCTCTGGCAGTGGTATACCGGTGGCCTTGAAGGTAAACTTAGCGGCGGTGTCTTCCAGGAACTCTACATCCTTGAGTCCCTCTGTAATCGCTGGAGCTTCGTGGAGCCGGAAGCGCCCCTTACAAACGCTCTCTCCATACTCATTGCTTGCCTGTGGGGGTGTGTTAGGGGGGTAAACCGAGCTTCATTAGTGGGTATACTTCATTCAGAAAGTATACAATCTACACTGGGGGTACTATATCCACCGGGTATATTTCCTCGACTGGGCATAGTAACTCCAGGAGGTATACTCCTCCCAGTGAAAATATATATAGGGTTATTTATATTTGATAACGACAGTTCTCGATAAATTAACCAAATAAGTAATTACGTAACTACCACTGACAATATTAGCTGGTCTGAGTCGACTGAAATCTCCATCAGTCAAGTTATTAAACAGACGAAGGGTGATTCAGCACCCGGCAACTGATGGATTGCAAGTCGAACTATGCAACTGAGTCCATCCGAGTACTGAGTGAACTAACTAGCCAGCTATCCAACTAGCTAGCTATCCAACTAGTCAGGTATTAAACTAGCCGGCGATCCAACAATCTAATTATCCAACTGACCAGTTAGCCAACTAGTCAGCTATTCAACCAATCAGTTATCAAAGCTAACCAATTATCCAACTAGCCAGCGATCCAACTAGCGAGCTATCCAACTAGCCAGGTATTAAACTAGCCGGCGATCCAACAATCTAATTATCCAATTGACTAGTTAGCCAACTAGTCAGCTATCCAACTAATCAGTTATCAAGCTAACCAATTATCCAACTAGCCAGCGATCCAACTAACGAACTATCCAACTAGCCAGCCACTCAACTAGCCAGCTAATAGCACTTTTACCTTGACGGTATATGTACCGACGAAGTCCGGAGTGGCTTCATTGATAGTGAGAATCTGAGTGGTCTCCTGACCTCTGATTGTGTACCCAGGCGTCTCCTCTCTGATTGGCTTGTCGTTCAGGAACCTGTCAGAGAGAGAGAGAGAGAGAGAGAGAACAGGTAGTCGTCAGGTGTAGATAGAACGTAGATATAGCTACGACTGTGGATATAGCTACTCCTAGGAGTAGATAGATGTTAATGGAGGCTAGTTTTAGTCGTTTAGGTATGGTGGTTACAGGAGTGTGTGTGTGTGGTGGTCGCAAGTCTTTATATATAAGTTATCATCATTAGGTTCAGTCGTTACCGGGAGTAATTATGGTTGTTAAGGAAGTGGTTTCGATAAGCTGGTATATGAGAACTGACAGGGGGAAGATCAACCACTTGACAGGGAAGACCTAGCACTTGACAGAGAGAAGACCTAGCACTTGACAGAGGGAAGACCTACCACTTGACAGAGGGAAGACCTACCACTTGACAGAGGGCTTGGGATTGGCCTCCCACTCGACGAAGAGTTTGGCGTCTTTGCTTCCTTCCTTAGCGCACACGTCCTTCAGAGGAGTGATGAAGTCTGGCGGGGCTCTTACTGTCAGCTCTCCCTCAGTGGAGACTGACCCGCTCGTGTTGGTGAGCTGTGAGGGAGGAGAAGCAGGGGTTGTTGGTGAGTGGTGGTGGTGGTGGTGGGGCTATGATCACCCTCCCTCACCCTACACTGAGCTCAGAACACCCTCCCTCACCCTACACTGAGCTCAGAACACCCTCCCTCACACTACACTGAGCTAAGATCACCCTCCCTCACCCTACACTGAGCTAAGATCACCCTCCCTCACCCTACACTGAGCTAAGAACACCCTCCCTCATACTACACTGAGCTAAGAACACCCTCCCTCACCCTACTCTGAGCTAAGAACACCCTCCTCACACTACACTGAGCTAAGATCACCCTCCCTCACACTACACTGAGCTCAGAACACCCTCCCTCACACTACACTGAGCTAAGATCACCCTCCCTCACCCTACACTGAGCTAAGATCACCCTCCCTCACCCTACACTGAGCTAAGAACACCCTCCCTCATACTACACTGAGCTAAGAACACCCTCCCTCACCCTACTCTGAGCTAAGAACACCCTCCTCACACTACACTGAGCTAAGATCACCCTCCCTCACCCTACACTGAGCTAAGATCACCCTCCCTCACCCTACACTGAGCTAAGATCACCCTCCCTCACCCTACACTGAGCTAAGAACACCCTCCCTCATACTACACTGAGCTAAGAAACCCTCCTCACCCTACACTGAGCTCAGAACACCCTCCTCACACTACACTGAGCTAAGAACACCCTCCCTCACCCTACACTGAGCTCAGAACACCCTCCCTCACACTACACTGAGCTAAGAACACCCTCCCTCACCCTACACTGAGCTAAGATCACCCTCCCTCACCCTACACTGAGCTAAGAACACCCCCCTCACCCTACACTGAGCTCAGAACACCCTCCCTCACACTACACTGAGCTCAGAACACCCTCCCTCACACTACACTGAGCTCAGAACACCCTCCCTCACACTACACTGAGCTCAGAACACCCTCCCTCACACTGAGCCAAGAAGACTCACCTCACACTTGTAAGTGCCTTTATCTTTCCTCTCCAGCCGACGAATCTTGAGTGTGTAGAAGGACTCATCTCTGATCATCTTAAACTTCTCGTCTCCCATAATCTCCTTCCCGTTCTTGAACCTGTGGAAGAGAAGGCGTTGAGGAACAGTAGTGGAAGGGAAAGGAATTATCAGAAGCGCCAAGCCATTATGACTATATAGCACTGGGAAAGGGTCAGGTCAGGTCAGGATAAGGATTTGGGATGGGGCAGGGAGGGGGAAGGAATGGTGCCCAACCACTTGGAAGGTCGGGGATTGAACGCCGATCTGCATGAAGTGAGACTGTCGCTCTACCGTCCACCCCAAGTGGATGGGGAACAGTAGTGGAAGAGAGGGTGAGAGAGATGAAGGGGTTCCTACTTTCCTTCCTATTTCTTCAAGAGAAGAAAAGGAATGGACTGGTTATCTTGAGGTTATCTTGAGATGATTTCGGAGCTTAGTGTCCCCGCGGCCCGGTCTTCGACCAGGCCTCCAACCCCCAGGAAGCAGCCCGTGACAGCTGACTAACTCCCAGGTACCTATTTTACTGCTAGGTAACAGGGGGGGGGGGCATCAGGGGTGAAAGAAACTCTTCCTATTGTCTCTCGCCGGCACCTCGGGATCGAACCGGGGACTACAGGATCACGCGTCCAGTGTTCTGTCCGCTCAGCCACCGGCTCCCTGGTGGGGTTTACCATAGCGTCTTGAAGATAGATAGATAGATAAAGATAGATATAGATTCACACACAGAGATGACAATAACGTGATGCATCAAATGCTCCCGGACGCAGGTTCGAATCCTCGTCACGGCCCTTGTGGATTTGTTCATAGATATAGATAGACTCACCAGCGGGCGTCAGGCTGGGGGGAGCCCGTAGCCCTGACCTCCAAGGTCAGGTCATTGCTGAGCTTCTTCTCCGTCTCAGGGTCGAGGCCTCGCGTTATCTGGGGCGCCGCGTCCGTCTGCAGGTTGAAGAACTCCGACACCTGCCCGATGGAGTTCGCCGCCACCACCTGCAACACAGATCAAACAATGTTTCTTAAGACCAGAGTCCGACCACTTGGGCTGGACGGTAGAGCGACGGTCTCGCTTCATGCAGGTCGGCGTTCAATCCCCCGACCGTCCACAAGTGGTTTGGGCACCATTCCTTCCCCTCCCCCGTCCCATCATAAATCCTTATCCTGATCCCTTCCAAGTGCTATATAGTCGTAATGGCTTGGCGCTTTCCACCTGATAGTTCACTTCACTTCACTTCTTGAGACCAGAAAGAAATACATCTCAAAGGGGATAGAGTAGCTTAGGCTGGTTGATACCTGGTTGAGGTATCAACCAGGTATCAAGCAGCCATTTCTACCTAGACGACCGCTCGTTGAGAGGAAGGTACTTGCATTAACTGGTGAAGGACGATTAGATCAAGTTTTTAAACAGTAATCATCCTTTAGCCCCAAGCTGTATCTACCCATACGATGCCTTGAGAAGCAGGACCAGGATTCACGAAGCATTTACGCAAGTACTTACGAACCTGTACATCTTGTTCTCAATCTTCTGACGGCTTTGGTTACATTTATTTAAACAGTTTACAAGCGTGAAAACTTGCCAATCGGCTGTTGTTATTGTTATAAACAGCCTCCTGGTGCTTCGGAGCTCATTAACTGTTTAATAATTGTAAACAAAGCTGCCAAAGATTGAGAAAAGATGGACAGGTTCGTAAGTACTTGTGTAACTGCTTCGTGAATCTGGTCCCCAGGTATTTCACTCGTTCGGGTCAACTAGCTTTGAATTATCCATATCCTAAACGTATCCACGGGTCCTGGGTGTCCCAATTTAAAGGTATCCAAGGGCTTTCGGTATCCTAAAGTTATCCAAGGGCCCTCTATATCCACAAAGCTAAGCAAGGTCAGTGCCTGTACTCCAAAACTTCATTAACCAAGCCTAAAAGTTCTAAACTAATCCAAACAAGTGTGGCGCTGCAGGCGTCACCATTAATGGCCAGTAACCACCCCCCTTGGCCATTCAATGGTGTGGCAATTAGCAGCGAGGGCGCATTATATGGTAGAGTGGACCACGGGTAAGGGGACTCCACACAGAGACCAGAAGGCATCTATAAGGGGGCAAAGCGCCAAGCCATTACGACTATATAGCCCTGGGAAGGGTTCAGGATAAGGATTTGGAATGAAACACGGGGGGGGGGGTGGGAGGGAAGGAATGGTGCCTAACCACTTGTGGACGGTCGGGGATTGAACGCCGACCTGTAGGAAGTGAAACCGTCGCTCTACCGTCCAGCTCAAGTGGTTAGTTTCTATCACCCTTCATAGAAACTATCACCCTTGATAGATCCTTGATAGTTTCTATCACCCTTGATAGGAACTATCAAGGATCTCTTCCTAAATCCTCCTCCTCCTCCAGACCCTTTTCTTTCTCCTTCTACTTCTTCTCCTACTTCTACTTCTACTCACCGTATAGCATCCACAGTCATCCATTTGCATAGAGTTGATGTTGAGAGTCCAGAGACAGTCAGACACCTTCTTGAACTTGATCCTGTCTGACTCCACCACTTTCTTGCCATCCTTCAACCTGTCGGAGACAGACAACGTATTATGAACAGCTGGCTAAAGGATAGATAAGGGATAGGGAACATGGTGGACGATGGAGTAGTGGTGACAGGTGGTTTAAGTGGACCACCAGGTGGTATAAGTGGACCAGATGGTCTTAAGTCCATAAGGGAATCTTATGTGGTTCAGAGGAACTTAGTGGATCATGGGGTCTCAAGTGGGCCAGGTGGAATAAGTGGACCAGGGGGGGGGGGTCCACTTAAGTGCATCAGGGGGGGGGTCTTAAGTGGATAAGGGGATCCAAGTGTATCAGTGGGATTTTATATGGACCAGGGGATTATCTAAGACTGATGGGGTACTTACATATATATATATATATATATATATATATATATATATATATATATATATATATATATATATATTATATATATATATATATATATATATATATACTACAGCACATTAGGGCCCAGCAAAGTCAGTGCAACACAGCAGTTAGTTATGTGATACTGTGTCAAGGGCTTTCTGGTAGTCATGCAAGATGCAGCAGTCTGCCCACACGTCACACACACACACACACACACACACACACACACACACACACACACACACACACACACACACACACACACACACACACACACACACACACACACACACACCTGCCTCGTAACGAACACCTTGTATAACTCCTACAGGTAGAGCAAGGACAGTTTACCTCATAAAATCATGTTGATTCATGTTTACAAACCAAATTCTCTTCAGATATCCCCAAACTCTTTCTTGTTGATCATTCAAACTGTTGGGCACGTGTGCATTAGTCGAGGATCCTTATAGCACGTTGTAGAGGCTTGTCTTCAAGTATTTCTTAATGTCTCACAATATTATCATCTTAACCTCTGTCTGTCATTGAGAAATTACTCAGAAATCACCAGAAAGCTGTTTTTAAGTTCCTTCGTCAGTACCTCCCGGAGCCTTACTGTGCAACCCGGCCTCCTAAGGTCTCCGAACGTCAAGAAACAGTCGTACTAAAGTGCCCTTATCCTAACCTACCAGAGGACCCACAACAGAAAACGGGACAGGAGGTTAATTTTGCGAGCCGCTTTCATTTTCTAGTACGAGAATTTTTGGCCTTATAGGGAGAGAGTGTACGTCAAAATGCGACGTTCTATTAGAAGATTGGACTGTGGGTTCCTCGCATGTTATCCTATTGTGGTGGTGTCAGAGGTATTGTGGTGGTGTTAGGGGTATTGTGGTGGTGTCAGAGGTATTGTGGTGGTGTCAGAGTTATTGTGGTGGTGTCAGAGTTATTGTGGTGGTGTTAGGGGTATTGTGGTGGTGTTAGGGGTATTGTGGTGGTGTCAGAGGTATGGTGGTGGTGTCAGAGGTATTGTGGTGGTGTCAGAGTTATTGTGGTGGTGTCAGAGTTATTGTGGTGGTATCAGAGGTATTGTGGTGGTGTCAGAGTTATTGTGGTGGTGTCAGAGGTATTGTGGTGGTGTCAGAGTTATTATGGTGGTGGTGTCAGAGGTATTGTGGTGGTGTCAGAGGTATTGTGGTGGTGTCAGAGTTATTATGGTGGTGGTGTCAGAGGTATTGTGGTGGTGTCAGAGTTAGTGTGGTGGTGTCAGAGTTATTGTGGTGGTGTCAGAGGTATTGTGGTGGTGTCAGAGTTATTATGGTGGTGGTGTCAGAGGTATTGTGGTGGTGTCAGAGTTAGTGTGGTGGTGTCAGAGTTATTGTGGTGGTGTCAGAGTTATTATGGTGGTGGTGTCAGAGGTATTGTGGTGGTGTCAGAGGTATTGTGGTGGTGTCAGAGTTATTGTGGTGGTGTCAGAGTTATTGTGGTGGTGTCAGAGGTATTGTGGTGGTGTCAGAGTTATTATGGTGGTGGTGTCAGAGGTATTGTGGTGGTGTCAGAGTTATTGTGGTGGTGTCAGAGTTATTATGGTGGTGGTGTGAGAGGTATTGTGGTGGTGTCAGAGTTATTATGGTGGTGGTGTCAGAGGTATTGTGGTGGCGTCAGAGGTATTGTGGTGGTGTCAGAGGTATTGTGGTGGTGTCAGAGTTAGTGAGGTGGTGTCAGAGTTATTGTGGTGGTATCAGAGGTATTGTGGTGGTGTCAGAGTTTT